AGACTGCTCCTCGGGGCGGGGGGGAGGGGGTGTGGGGGGGGGAGGGGGCCGGACACCCACAGACACTCCCAAACCCATTCTCCCAAATGCCTGCTCTTGCCTTGTTCCCCGTCTCCCCAGCCCCCGGTCAATGGCAGGACCAGACCACCAGTCAGTGACATTAAATGTCTGGGTTACTGTTGCCTTTTCGGCCCCTCAGTGATTGAGTCCCGTGTGTGGCCAACCCCGACTTCAGTCTCTAAACCAGCCGTGGGCAAACTACGGCCTGCGGGCCGGATCCAGCCCGAATAAAACTAAAAAAAAAAAGACCGTACCCTTTTTTGTAATGATGTTTACTTTGAATTTATATTAGTTCACACAAACACTCCATCCATGCTTTTGTTTCGGCCCTCCGGTCCAGTTTAAGAACCCATTGTGGCCCTCGAGTCAAAAAGTTTGCCCACCCCTGCTCTAAACCCTAAGCAGGTCCTCCCGGAGCCCCCCAGACCTCTCTCCATCGACGTTGACGTGGACACAGATCTGAGCCCCGACCCAGAGGGGCCTGGGGCGCCTCGCGTTCTCTTTCCTGTTTGTCTTGGAGGCATTTCCCTCTTTTATACCCAAGTCCTTGCAGGCTAGGGTTAGAGTTAGAGGTTGAGGTTAGGGTTAGGGTTAGAGGTTGTTGTTTAGGGTTAGGGTTAGAATTTAGGGTTAGGTTTAGGGTTAGGGTTAGAGGTTGGTGTTAGGGTTAGGGTTAGAGTTTGAGGTTAGGGTTAGAGGTTGTTAGCATTAGAGTTAAGGTTAGTGTTTAGGGTTAGGGCTAGAGGTTGGTCACCTCCTCCTGCTTAGAAAGCCTTGAAGTGTCCGCCAGGCAGCTGGCACCTCCTCGAGGGGCTGGACTCCAGCTGGGGGGGCGGGGTGACACCTCCTCCTGCTTAGAAAGCCTTGAAGTGTCCGCCACGCAGCTGGCACCTCCTCGCGGGGCTGGGCTCCAGCTGGGGGGGCGGGGTTTGTTGTTAGGGTTAGGGTTAGAATTTGAGGTTAATGTTAGGGTTAGGGTTAGAGGATAGGTTTAGGGTTAGGGTTAGAGGGTAGGGTTAGTGTTTATTTTTAGGGTTAGAGGTTGGTGTTAGGGTTAGTGTTTTGGGTTAGTGTTAGAGGATGGTGTTAGGGTTAGAGGGTAGGGTTAACATTAGAGGTTAGAGTTGGAGATAGTAGTTAGGGTTAGGGTAGAGGTTATGTTGAGGGTTAGGTTTAGGGTTAGGGTTAGGCTTGATGGGACATGTGCTTGCTGTTCCTGTGGAATGTCATGTGTGGAATGCCTCGCCCTGACCTGAGTGGGTCAGACTATGTCTTCCATCCCTGCGTGCCATTGCTGGATGAAGCTGTATTTTGTCGAAATTCTCTTTAGATGAAAAACATTCATGGCTCCCATGAAAGAGTCCCGATAGTGGAACCGAAAGAAAACCGATATTATAATTCACTGACAGTTCCAGTCAAAACCCAGTGCTCCCGGAGGCGGCTGTTGGCTGCGGAGCTCGCGTGGTGCCGTGAGAGCACCTGTCCCCTGAGGCGTGTGCGTTTGTCCGGACAGGGACGCACTTTCCCACCTCCTGGACCGAAGAGGGGACCTCAGTGCGAAGGCCTCCCTGTTCCCCCTGGGAATCGTCGCCTGGTGGTCGCCATCTCACCACTAGATGGCGCTGTGCTGCCAGGAAACGTGGGTGTCGCGTGGATTTCTCTGTGGCTGTAAATAATGTTGCTGGGGGGCGGGGAAGGTGAGGTGGTTTTAGCCTGGATCCGTCTCTCTCGGTGGCCACTGAAATATTCACCTGGACAACGTATTCGTGGGTTTATTTGATCATCGATGGAGTTTTATTTCAAATAAACACATGCATAGACCGTGTGTGTGGCCTCCCAGTGACTCCCATGGTCATCGTCTAACGCCCACTTTTTCACGGCTTTGGGCCGCCACGCTGAGAGCAGTTTGGGCTGCAAAGTCTACGGCTGTGATTCCCGGGCTGTCTGGTCCACCTCGCGCTGT